AATGAATAGGTCATGTTTTACATATATGAAACTTTTGAAGTATACAAAGAGCACTGGACTGGGAATTCAGAGACCTGGGTTCTAGTCCTTCCTTTTTCCTTAGTTTTTTTGAGATCTTGAACAAGAAATTTCTCTTCTCTGGGCCTTGGGTTCCTTAGCCATAAAATGAAGGGGTTGAAGCAGTTGGTCTCTGAAGTTCCTTCTAGCTCTAAATTCTATGATTCTGTAAGTTTACAGATTAATTTCTTCTCTGGTTTTTATAACTTTGGAAAGACCACTGGCTCGAGAATCAGAGGTTATCGGTCAGTTGTTTTTCAGTCATGGCTGACTCTCCATGACCCCATTTGAGGTGTCCTTGACAGAGATACTGGAGTGGTTTGGCATTTCCTTCTCCAGCTCATTTTACAGATGAGGAAACTGAGGCAAACAGAGTTAAGTGACTTGCCCAGGATCACACAGTCAGTATGTGTTTGAGACCAAATTTGAACTTAGGAAGAAGAATCTTCCTGACTCCAGGCCTGGCACTCTGTCCACCACACCACCTAGGTGCTCCAGTCAGAGGACTTAGGTTTGAACCCCACCTATGGTGTTTACTATCTCTTTGACACCTGAGAAAATCACTTCAGCCTCAGTTTCCTTTTCGGTAAAATGAAGGCATTGAATTCTATGGCTTCTGAGTTCCCTTCCTGCTCTAGAGCTATGATTCTATGAACTTCTTTCTAGGGGTTACAGTGGATAGAAAATGAATTAGGACAGGGTTGGAGGGATTGGGGAGTAAAATTTTCTGGAGGATGGAATAAAGCAGACTCACTGAGGTCAGTGAGAATGGATGGTTTGACAGCAAGAGAGAATATGACAGAAATATCAGCTACAGAAGGCCAACTAGTAGTGTCAGTGTAGGGCCAAATAGCACTTTTATCCTTGGTGACAAGGGAACAACCACCCCCACTCTACCCCCCAACCTTTTATTGCAGCCTCTTGGGAAGATGGACACATGTAGATAAAGCTGAGGAACCAAGGAAAGAACCCACTGTAGTCAGCATACTCTGTTTACTAAGGCAGGGACATACTTAATATATTTTAGAGCGATTCCCATCAAAACCAATTGAAATAACATTTCAGTAGTTTGCTTATCAGGGAATTTACTTTTTCAGTACATTTCATTTCCTGACCATGCTTTATAGCTCAGGTTGTGGGGGAGCTAGAAGGTGGAGTTTTCAGGGAGAGACTCCATCCCCAGGGCTATGACTTATGATTGGACAAAATTCCATAAGAATAACATATTACTGTCTAAGTGGGCTCTGTGAATGGGGGCACAGAGGGATGTGCCAGGGGCTTAAATGGTTGTAGATTTCAGGCGCGTGTGACAACTCAGCTGCTGATGGGATATGGATTGTGAGATACAAAGAGTTAGGCTCTAGTGACAGATGTTTCCGCCTAAATGTAGCACTTCAGATGATAAAAGCCCTATAAGCGTCTTCATGTTGTTCTTCTGAAATATTTCCAGGGGAAAATAACCATTTGCTTTGTAAGTGGTGAGAGTATAAAAAGAGACAGAAGTCAGCTGACCTTCCTGTATTGTGTTTCTTTGGCAGGCTTGGCTGAATGGGAGAGGGCATTTATCAATTTCATTTAAAGGGTGTGACCAGCCCAGATGCTGCCAACCCAAATGAAGAGATAATAACGCAAAAAAGACCCAAAGGACTTCCTTATGTGCCTCCTGGCAGTGGTCTGCACTCCTTTAGGACTTTAGGCAAGTTATTTCCTCTTCCTGGGCCTCAGTTTCTTAATCTGTATAGTGAAGGGGGTTGCTTTCTAGCTCTTAATATTTGAGGATTCTATGATCTAATAATACGAAGAATCTTGAGATCCTTTAAAAAGGGAACTATCTTCTGTGCTCATGGGAGAAATGATTCACTAACCAGACGATATCAATCTTGCTAAAGAGTCAGCATGTTAAAACTCCACGCATAGTGCCAAGGCATGGTACTTGAAAGGAGAGTGGTGATCAGATATTTGAAAAGCTGTCATGGGGTGGATGTTGGGGGGAAGGATTATATATATTCCATTTTACCCCAAAGGGCAGAACAAGGAGCAGTGGGTTAGAAAGAGGCTAATTTAGGCTTGATTTCAGGAAAAACTTCTAAATATTCAAGAGGCCAGTCATCAAACCATAAGCATTTATTAAGTGTTTACTATGTGCCTGGCACTGTTCTATGTGCTGGGAATACAAAGAAAGGCAAAAATATAGTCCCTGCTCTCAGGGAGCTCACATTCTAATGGAGGAGACAACATTCAAATATATACAAGTGCATATGTGTATTGGTGTGTGTGTGTGTGTGTGTATGTGTATATGTATATATGATATATGCATAATGTATGTATGCATGTATATGTATATATGTATATACACACACATACATATGGAAGGCGATCTCAGAGGGAAGTGGGGGCAGTGCAGCTAGTTCCCGTAATGGATAGAGTTTTAGATTTTGAGTCTGGAATAGCTGAGTTCAAATCCTGCCTCAAACACTTTCTAGCTATGTGACCCTTAGCAAGTCATTTAACCTGTCTCAACCTCAATTTTTTCACCTGTAGGTAATAGCACCTACCACATAGGGTTGTTGAGAGGATAAAAATAAGGAAATGGGTGTAGAATGCTTTGCAAACCTTGAAGTGCTACATAAATGCTAGCTGTTCAAAAGTAGAATGGGATGCTTGGGTAAATGGTGTGTCTCCCTCAGAGACTGGATTTTGAATATAGTAAAGTAAGGATTTTTTTCCCCAGGTAGGTTAGACTAGATGGCCACTGAGATTCTTTCCTATTCCAAATTTTGTGATTTTTTGACCCCCTAGGAGTGTATTTATCCATAGAAGTCCCTGGACTCTGAGGGTTGATCCCCTGTGAGTCAGGGATGGCTAGAAGACAATGGACATCACTCCTTCAGGCTGGCCTGAGGATCCTGATTCTGTCACTGACACAGCTCAGTGGCTATTAAACTTACTCTGACTTTTCTCATCCAGGAAGGAGCCTAACTTGGTTAGCACACTAATGTCTATAGCCACCACAGCAGGAAGTTGCTAAGTGGTTGCAGCCTGAATTGGCTGGATGGGGCAATGGGCAATTTGCAGGGTCTGATTATTTTTAATTATGTGCTGACCCCTAATTATACACCCACTTCTTTCCACAGATCGCCAAAGTGAGCTGAGCAATTATCCAGTAATTCTGGCCAAGCCTTGTTCTTGCCTGGGTTACCTGTGGTCTTTTCACACACACATCCCACTCAGTGTTTTATCTTGCCTGATTTACCTAAATAATTGCATAGCCCTCCCCCATCTATCCTTGGCCCCTCCCCCAAGTTTGCCTGGTCCATGTAGTTCTGCCCTCAAATTATATACAGAGTGACTGCATCTGCATCTTTCATGTCTGTTTTATGTGTTCCTATTGGGCATACTGAGAAGTGCCATGAGCTGTGTAGGCCTAATATCAATAATGATAATGATAATGATAATAATAATAATAATAATAATAATAATAATAATAGCTACCTTTTATAAAGTGCTTCAAGATTTTCAGTGCTATACATATGCCATCTCATTTGATGCTCACAACAAGCCTGTGAGAGAGGTGTTAGTATTATCCCTATTTTACAAATGAGGAGATTGAGATTAGGTGTCAGAGAGGTTGAGTGACTTGCCCAGTCACACAGCTGGTAAGTGTCCAAAGCAGGATTTGAACTCAGTTCTTTGTACCTCCAAGTCCAGTGTTCAACCTACTGCACCATGTAATTGCCTAGAATCAATCAACGAACAAGCATTTAAGTGCTAATTTTGTGTCAGGCACTGTGCTCTGTGATCTGTATGGACCATGTGGACCTGTCACCTGTAGCTGTGTAGACTCAACCTGAAAGGCTTTCTCCTTTTCCCCTCCACTCCCCCTTCCCTCCCCCCTCTCTTTCTCTCTTTTGTTTCCTCCCCACCGAGGTGGGCCACGTTGATTTACCAGTTCATCACATATTCTACCTTGAGCATTGTACTTTATAACAAAAAGTTGAAAAAAAGAAGCGAAAGGGTGGGGTGGGGGGAAAGAGTTCAGGAAAACTGACCAATTTATCAACTGGGATCTGAGATATAGGTAATGTTCCATGCAGAATGTATTTTCTTATCTTCTCATCTCCTTTCGCTGAATTGGCCATTGTCATTGCATAACATTTGTTCTTTTTTTCCCATTTACGTTGGTGTGATCATTATGAGTGTGTGTATGCGTGTATATATACATATACTTTTCAATCAAATTATATTACATATGTGTATATGTGTGTGTGTATGTGTGTGTGTGTGTGTGTGTGTGTGTGTGTGTATAGTGCTTTGCTAACCTTAAAAGATTATGTTGTTCAGTCATGTCTGATTCTTCATGATCCCATTCAGGTTTTCTTGGCAGAGATACTGGAGTGGTTTGCTATTTCCTTTCTCCAGCTCATTTTACAGATGAGGAAACTGAGGCAAACAGGGTTAAGTGACTTGCCCAGGGTTACACAGCTAGTAAGTGTCTGAGGCCAGATTTGTACTCAGGAAGATGAGTTTTTCTGACTGCAGGCCTGGTGCTCTATCCACTGAACCACCTAGCTGCCTGTCTAAGGACTATATAAATACTAATTATCATTACCATATTTTTTTATTCTACATACTTCATTCTACATCAGTTCATCTGTCTTCCCACGTTTCACTCTTTTATAAACTCTAGGGGTCCTTATCCCAAAGCTCATATTAATACTGGGTTCCCAGAGTCATGTTCTATCCTCTCCAAGGTTCTACAAGTACCTCTGAGGCTTTGATGGTGTTTTTCTCTAGTGCCATCTGTATGAGCCACCACTGCAGTACTTTCTCCCCATTATCAATCTGCAATTATAGTTAGCATGCCCCTTATGTCATTGGTAATTGATTTACCAATTAGTGCCCTAGTATCATTTAATGAATTGATATAAACTGATTTTTGCCAAGGGATATTTAATGAGAACATATAGCAAGAACAGAAGTTACAGATCGTTCCCTCAGTGCTTAGGGTTATATCACTTCAGTCCCTTGAGAGAATGGGCACAATCTTAAAGCAGATGTTACAAAGCATTTGCCCCCGTCACATTTTACTTCTGTGTGTAGTGTAGCTGATGGATGAGTCGCTATATTTTTCTCTTGGCTGCCTCCAATCCATGCTTGGCTGTGCCAAGCAGATCTCTAGGTACTCTGTTCTTCTCTGGCTCAGCAGTTCATATAAACACTTGGATTCCAGCTCCTAGATGAGGTCTCTGGATCTTCTGAAGTTTACAAGGTTGAAGTCTAGCCTGGTAGTCCACCTAAGAGTAAGAAAAAACAAATCTGCAGAGGAAGGGAACAGATAATTGTTTGTATTCACAGGCCACATGCTGGCCAGGGTGGAGAGAAGGACCAAGACTTCTCCTTACCCAAAGTCTCACTGCATACTCTCCTCATTAGAACCAGCCAGGCTGGAGGGGGTCAAATCATCTGGTTAGTGCCTCTTGTAAGGATTCTCAGTTCAGGCTCAACTTCCAATCAAAAGGTTCCTCTTCTTCCTATGGCAAACAGACTGGATGCTCAGAAGTCTATGTAAGGATTGCATCAGCAGAGAATGCTGCACATGCTCATAAGCATGGGCCTACTGTCCAGTCTTCCACTCCTCACCCTGTGACATTCACATTAATCATCTCTTATGGCATGATAATATTCTATTTAATATAAGTACCACAATTTAGTTAGCCATTTCTCAACTTATGGGTGCCACTTTGGTTCTAATTCTTTTGCTACTACAAACAGTGCTACTATGAACATTATGGTTTATTTGGGACCTTTTTTTCTGTCACTGACCTCTAGTGGTGAGAAGTCTAGGTCAGATGGTATAGACATCTTAGTCACTTTATTAGCATTGTCAAAATTGCTTTGCTGATTCAAAACTCCATCAACAATTCATTAGAGTGCTTGTATTTTCACAGCCTCTCCAACACTGACTATTCCCATCTTTTTTATTAGTTTTTAAAATTTACGATATTTTAGTTTTTGTAAATTTTGTTCTCTTAGCTCTACTTCACTGCATCAGCTCATACAAATCTTCCTGTGCTTCTCTGAATTCCTCATATCTGTCTTTTTTATGGTGTGGTAAAATTCCATAACATCCAAGAGCTATAGTTTTTTGAACATTTCCCAGTTGATGGACACTAATTTTGTTTCCAGTTTTTTGCTACCAAAGAAAGTATTCCTTTGAATAGTTTGGTATATGCGAGGCTTTATTTCCATGCTTGACTTCCTTGGGACATATTCCTGGTAGTGGCACTTTAAAAAAAAATTAAAACACAACCCTCCCTGCCCCCACACATAGACAAAAAAAAACTCTCTGGGGCCAGAATGATTCTGTGGATAGCTGGTTAGGCTTCTGACTCAGAGAGTTTGTTGTGCCAAGATCAGGTTCAGAAGAAAGGTGTGCCCATTTCCAAGTAAGAACATTGCCTTCTGCATCTTACTGAGTTAGTAGCTGACAGTTGGCATAAATATAGAAGTGCCATCCATCCAATTTGACAAAGAACAGTTACTGTTGTTTTTAAAAACTGAAATCAACCCTCAGTTGAGTTAGGCACTGTCACATCCCCAGGGTAAAGCAAAGAAGAATATATTTATTGCCTTGTGGAGCAATTTGTTAATTAGTTACTGCAGAGGCAACAGGAAGAATGGCATTTGTAAAGAGAGAAAGAGCCCAAGACCTGTTCACTCTGATCCAACGAAAGACCCCAGTACCTTGATGGGCATGTTGCTATTGCCAATGTCCATCATTCAATTACAAAAACAATCTTCCTAATGCACTTAATTGATCATATTGCTTCTCTGATCAAAAGCCATCAGTGGCACCCCAGTGCTTATGGGATAACATGAAAACCTAGTGATTTCAGAATTTCTGTGTTGAAAGGGATCTCAGAAGTTGTGTAGGCCAACCTGAAAACATTCCTAACAAGTAGTCATCAAGGCTTTGCTTGAGGACCTCTCTGAAGGGAACCAACCACTCCCTGAGGCATCTTAAGTTTCCCCTCAGCTCTAATCAACCTTATTGTCCTTTCAAGACAAAAAACAACCAACCAGGTCTAATCATCTTTCACATGAAACCTTTTCATATATTTTAAGCCAGCCATCATGTCCCTTTAAGAGTTTTCATTTTCAGGCTTAACATCTCCATTTCTTGCTGATCCTCATATGGCATAATCTCAAAGCCCTTTCTTAATATTTTTGCCCTGTACTTGATGCTTTCAATCAATCACTGTACTTCCTAAAATGTGGCTTCCAAAAGTCAACGTGGTACCCCGGATGTGGTCCAATTGGAATGAAGTACAATGGAACTTTCACCTCCCTAGACCTGGACATTGTGCCTCTCAATGATGTCTAACATCACATTGGTTCTTTTGACTGCCATGTCATACCATTCCTCCGTTTTGAGCTTGCCGTCTACTAACCCTGCAAATATTTGTCAGAAGAACTGTTTGCAAGTCATAATTTCCCCCCCCCACCTTGAGCTACTTGATTTTATGAACCCAAGCACAAGTCTTTAAATTTATCCCTATTAAATTTTGTCTTACTATATTCAGGCCAATGGTATAACTAGTTGAGACACTTTCATCTTCTAACTGACATGTTTTGTGTTACCTATCCCTCCTAGCCTTAGAAAATCTACAAATTTGTTGGGGCATTCCACCCATGACTTTATTCTAGTTACTGATAAATTGTTAGCCAGCACAAAGCCCAAGAATAATTGTTGGAGCTTAGAGACCTCTTTCCAAGTTGACACTGAACCATTAATGACTGGTTAGAGCATTCAACTGGCTCCAAATTCACCTAACTATAAGATTATCTAGCCCACATTTCTCCATTGTTTCCACAAGAATAGTTTGAGATATTTCATCAAATGCTTCTTTAAAATTAAGGCAAATTCTCTGTAGCACTAGCCTGATTTCTCCTGACAATGACTCTGTCCAAAAAAGAAATAGGTTTAGTCTGGCATGACCTGTTCTTGATGAATGTTTTTTGATCATTGCTTCTTTTTCTAGATATTAACTGTCCCTTTAATAACATACCCCAAACTCTTGTGAAGAATCAAAGTCAAGATTTTTGGCATAGCACAGTTTTTTAACTCATAGGTTCATATGTCTAGAGTAGAAAAGGATGTCTAAGCCATCTAGTTCAACCCCTTCACTTTACAAAGAAGGAAATTGAGGCCCAGGAAGATTAAATGCCTGGCACAAGGTCCTCATGTAGTGTCAGATGTAGGCTTTAAGCCTATGACTCTAAAACTAGTGATCCCTTTTTTTTTTTAATTTCAATTTACTTAAAAAAAAAACCTTCCATTGATATCCTGTGTTCTTCTATTACCAATATTTCCCTCTGAATCACTCCTTCTCTTCTTGCTTATAACTCATATATGTATCACTTATAAACAATTTTTTTTAAAAAAAGAAAGCATTCAGCAAAACCTATTAATACATTAAAACAAAAGTGATGTTATATGCATCCATGGGTCCCAGTCTCTGTAAAGTAGAGAGGGGAGTGGGGAAGAGAAAGGAAGAGGTATCTTCTCTTATCTTGGGGCCAAGCGTCTTTTAAATTTCACAACATTCTGTTTCAGTTGTTTTATGGTGATTATTCTTTCCATTTGCATTATTGTGATTATTATGCCTATTGTTTTCCTGGCTTGACTTACTTCACTTTGTATCAGTTCATGGGATTCTTTCCACGTTTCTCTGTATTTGTGATGCCCATGTGTTTCTTACAGGCCCACAATATTCCTTTACATTCAGTACTGCACTTTGCTTAGCCATTCTCCCACTGAGGGGCATCTACTCTGTTCCATTCTTTGCTGCCATCAGAAGTGTTGCTATAAATATTTTTTTATGTAAACCAGTGTACTTTCCCTAGCACTAGGCTTCCTCTTATTTTAATTTTTGAAAATCCATATGCATTTTGTTCTTAGTTCATCCTGGAGCACATCCTAGATCATTGACTCAGCAGTCACGTATCCTCATTTTTAGAGTAGGAGTTCTTAATGTGGGACTCACAGACACCTGCCCCTGAGGACCATCTCTGCTCTGTTTAAGCCATATCTGATCTCGGTGGGACTAACAGTACTCAGCCATCAGTTTTCTAGAATCAGAATCACAACAAAATGAATAAAGCCGGAAAGGATATTGGATATCAGTCAACAAGTATTTAAGTATCTACCAGGCACTAGTCTAAGTACTGGGGATCCAGGTACAATGAATGGAACAATCTGTACTTAAAAGAAGCTTGCATTCTAATAGGGGAAGACAACAAGGATATAGACAGTGTTCCAAAAGTGTTAGTGCAGTTTTAAGCTACCAAAGCTTAAACCTCCTCTGGACCCTTTAAAAAGATAGCTAGGTAGGGGCAGCTGGGTGGCATGGTGGATAGAGCACTGGCCCTTAAGTCAGGAGGACCTGAGTTCAAATCCGGCCTCAGACATATAACACTTATTAGCTGCGTGACCCTGGGCACATTACTTAACCCTGTTGGCCTCAATTCCTCATTTGTCAAATGATCAGGAGGAGGAAATGGCAAAACACTCCAGTATCTTTGCCGTGAAAACCCCAAATGGGGTCAGAAAGAGTCAGACACTACTGAAATGACTCAACAAAAACCCAACAGTAGAACCCTTTAAAATCTGCTCTCTCCTAGCCTTTCTCTCCTTCTCTAACATGAGATCAAAGGTGGAGTGGTCAATTCCTCCTAGGGTTCCCATCATTTCTATTTCAATATGCTATAAAAAGCATAAAACTGCACTGACACTTTTGGGACACCCTATATAAGTGTCACAAACAGAATGCATATAAGGAGAATAAATACAAGTAAACAGAAAGTTAAATACCAGGTAGTTTGGGGGAGGGAGGCTAGCAGTTGCAGGATCAAGAAAAGTTTCACTTAGGATGAGGTGTTTGAGCTTAGTTTTAAATACTTTATTCCCCCCCAATTTCCCAATTGTAAAAACAACTTTTAATATTCATTTTTTAAAAATTTCAGTTTCGAATTCTCTCCCTTCCTCCTGCCTCTCTCTCCTCATTGAGAAGACAAGCAATGTCATATAGGTTATACATGTTTAGTCATGCAAACCATATTTCCCTATTGAGCTTCACCTTAAAGGAAGAAGTGAGGAGGCAGTGCATTCCAGGTATGGGGGCCAAGTAGTGCCTGGGTACAAAGATGGGAGATGGAGTGTCATTTCTGAGGAGCAGTAACAAGGTCATTTGGCTGGAACATAGAGTATATAAAGAGGAATGTATTTTGAGTCTAGAAATAAAGGCTAGAGTCACCTTGTGAAGGGATTTACATGCCATCGAGTGGAGTTTTTTATGATCCTATAACAAAGGTCTTTAACCTAGGGTCTATGGATGCCCAAAGGGTCTGTGGATAGATTTGTGGTGATGGTGATGGAGTGTCTGTGAACTTGGATGGTAAAAAAAGTCACCTTCATTTTTGCTAACCCAACTGTTATTTAGCATTTTCTTCCATTATTTAGAAACATTAT